TTTTAGGTGTGGATTGAAGGCATTTAAAGGGGGGGGAGGGCGGGGGGGCACGGAGCACAGCAGGGCTCACAGGCGGGCACTTAATAGGGGCCCCAACCGCAGGGACACGGACCAGGAGGGCGGGAGCACGGAGCCTTACCAGCACTGGAGGTGGAAAGCGGCGGGGCAGTGATCGCAGCACAGCAGGTCCCCTCCTTCCTTGCAGCTATCGCAGCTGTCGTGGTTTGTGGCCCTGCCACTTCTCCTGGGCTCCTTCTCGGGCCTCCTGCTCCTCTTCTCCCCATCTTCGCTCTTAGGGGGAGCCAGCAGGGCCTGGATTTGCTGCAGACACACGCACACACACACACACAGAGCTCTGAGGGCCGCCCGCACTCTGACCCCCACCGCCCCCCATAGCGCACGGCTCGGTGGGGCCGGGATAAGGCCGAGCCCGCCCCGGGAGGCCCCCACCGGGGATTGGGCGAGCGGCCGCACTTCCTTCTATGGCCACGGGGCTCGGGGCCGGGGGGGGGGGGGGGGGGGTCCCCTCGCCATTTTGCAGCCCCGCCGCCCCCGCCGCCCCCTCACCTCCATCAGCCCCCCGGAGGTGTCCAGGTCGTAGACGATCGTCTTCGTCTCCATCTTCTCCCACATTCATCCAGCCCGGGGGGAGCGGCCCCGAGAGACCCCCCCCACCCCGCCGCGAGGGAGCGGACGGAGGGACGGGGAGCGGCGGCGGCGGCGGCGGAGCCGCACTGGGCGGCCTCGAGAGGGGAGCGAGGCGGGGCGGGCGGCGTCGAGGCCTAACCCACGGGCCGCTGCGCCGCTCGGCCGGGACTCCGCCACCTCCTGCCGCCGGGCCCGGGGGAGGCTGCGGGGGGCCCCGCGCCCGCTGCCATGCCGCGCACAGGAGGGCCCGGGCGGCCCCGCTCCGCCGCCTCACAGCGCTCGGCCCCGCACCGCCCCGCACGCTCAGGCGCCGCCGCGCTCGGCCCCTCTCCTCCTCCTCCCTCTCTCTCTCTCTCTCTCAGGGCCCCTCCGTCGCCGCCGCCGCCGCGCCGCCCGCGCACGCGCAGACCGCGCCCCGCCGCCCGCCCGACACTGCGCACGCGCAGCCGCCCTTCCCCCGCTCTCGGCTCAGGCGGCGCGCGCGCCGGGGCACCGCGCTTGCGCGCATTTTTGGCTCCGCCTCCCCGCGCCCGGCTCGCCCCGCGATTCCCTCGCGCGTGCGCATCAAGCGCGTGGCGACCGGCACGTTCCGGGGTGGGGTGAGAGAGAGCGCGGCGTGGTGACGTCACGACGCGGGGCGGTGCGGATGGCGCGCCGGCAGAGGGCGCGCTGCGTTTGGCGCGCCGGGGCGGTGCTTCCGGCTGCGGGCGCCGTCGCCCCTTAAAGCTACAGCGCACCCCGAAAGCGGGGAGGGAGGGGGGGCGCCCCGAGTGTCCGGTGGATGCAGGCGGTCACCTCTGCCGCAAATCCCGGGAACCCCGGTGTCAATCACCCGCACCCCTCACTCATCAACGTGCCACGTTTTCTTCTAAAACACCATTTTTTTTTAATTAATGAAACAACCAAAAGATGGGCGAAGGGGCAGCGGCTCCTCTCCAAAACGGGGTACGCGCGGTTGGGGAACGGGACCCTATGTTACATCGGCCGGGGACAGAACTCCCAGCCCCGGGCGTGACCTGGTCCGGGGGGGGGGGGGGGGA